ACCGTATAATAAACTTCTATGCGCTATTGGTATTTCAAGTGAACAAAAAAAGATTCAAACAAGTGGCACAATGATATACGATAATATTTTCTGTAACCGATAGGACTAATATGATATATATAGTATAACTAACTATCCCTACTCTCGAGTGCAATGATGATACGAGAAGGATACATTAATTTGATCACAAGGTATTTATATTTTATGCATCCATAGTGTCTATGCTAAGATACTGCGATCATTACAGTAGTACTCTGCGTGATTTTAACTTATTCCAATTTCCGATATAAACATCACTCCCTCTTCTGTTATCCATAGTATACGAATAAACCCATGATCTTTGTAAATTCACTCAACGACAAAGAGTATATTCCGTTGTTGTCCTCTCTTTCCCGAATTGTCCTAAGACTTGGTGTGAAAAAAATAAATGTGATGTTTCTAATACTTAAATCGCCGTATTCCTCTCAGTAAATAACTATTGGAATATTCCCTCCATTTTCAGTGTATCAAATATCCCGTTCCAATTTATAGCATAGACATTACGTAATTTTTGAATTAACTGATCTCTCCCATAGACACTGCCTTTTCTTCGAAAAGTCCGTTGGTTGTTACACCAGTAATAGATACTAATGTCCATCTTTGAGCGACCAGTTAAAACATCTATGACAGAACATATACAGTATGTAATACGACACTTCAATTATTAGATTAACCAACAAGCCTACAGTTAATGTCTTGAGATGTCTTGAGATAGTGTACATACTGCCTGTTACGTACTTGTTATTTTTTAATTGCATACTATATTCAAATGACCACATAGTTGACAGCATGTGATAAATGTAAGATATTTTTTCGACTCTGTCGGCCTTTGATAGAGTTATATAAATATTAGATGACTGTTTCCTTGTTCTAAAATACACTTCCAAAAAAATATATAATCCGAAACGATAATATTACTAAAAATGAGTTCTGAATACATATTCTTTGAATACCTCTGACTTATTTTAATCTATATATAACAAAATCTTCGAAGTATTATGTCTAGAGAGGATTACTTTCATGTTCATGTTTTTTCTATATAAACTGTGACCTCACGGTTGCTTATTTTCATTGGGTTCCTGCCTCCCTGGGAAGCTAGTGAAACAATTATGGTATCACACAATACAATATCTCGAAAGGTGCCCATTTCTTGTTTCTGAATGTTATAACCTAGATGCTATACCTTAGAAACTTATGCAGTAAGTTAGAGGTTTATATTTCAGTTGACTGGTGTAGCATGGAGAAACAACAATGGTCACGATGTTATTTTACTCGATAATCAAGACAGGTTAATATTCAAACTATCGAAGCCGATATTTGTTGTATATGGTGAGAATATGGAAGGTAATATCATTGTATGCGATGATTAATGGGTAAGGCACAAAAGCCAGACTCGGCTCTTGATGTAGTCAAGTAGAGAGAAATAAAAACATTGCAGAAAAATCGGGCTAGATTTTTAGGACTTAGCATAAAATAATCATGTATCACGTGTATTTATTTTATTTGACAAATAAAAAAATTAAAGTGCGTATTACTTATATTACTTGTATATAATTTCTTTCATTGTAGCATAATATATTAAGAAAAATTATTTGATTTTGTTGTTTCCAATCTAAATTGGTCCCCCATTACGATGATTTCCCTACTTTCATATTTTTTCTTTTTACATACATACAGCATCATCACTGAAAACTACCAAGAATCGGTATATGTAATATTTTTATTTTTTATGCACATACTAGCTGTAAAATAGAACTTTATGTGGAAACTTTATTTGACTCGCACAAAAAATTATGTATCAATCGTACCAGTATCAATCAGATTTTGTACTTCTCGCCTTCATTGCATTCGCCAACTTTTCTCCAAAAACTTGTTTTACGTTACGGTTATCAACAATGACTATGAGATTACCTTTTTTGTCATATCGAAAGATATTTGGCCTTTTTGATAAAGCTCTGTGTGGTAACTCAACTAAAATGTGAATGCATTTTCTGTTATAAGTCACATCTGCGATTTTATGGTGAAGTTCCACAAAACTAGCGGTTTTGGATTCTTTATAACCCTTGAGAGTTTTATCATAATCTAAATCGTAATTCAAATCATTCTGATCTGAATCATCATCATCATCATTATCATCAACAACGATAACCCTTTTCTGAGGTTTCTGATATTTTTTAGTAAGGCCAATTTCAACACATCCCTCCTCTCCATCGTTTTGATCATTTAGCTTCATTTTCTTATTCTGGGGTCTAGATTTTTTTTCATTATTGGACCTCTTCTTGTTTTTCTTTTCTTTTTTTTCTTCTTTTTTTTCTTCCATGTACTGGAACCCCAGGCACGCCTTGAAAGCTTGCTTTTTAACCTTGCTTGATGTAACATTTTCATCGTAGATAGCGGAACTCAACGATAACAATACCACGTTATTTGATTCATTTGATTTATCTACAAGACAGAGTACAAGATCAGAACCTGCATTTTGCGGCGGTTGGATAGCATGAGTATGGTACTTGGTTGTTTGGTATATGTCTTTAACATAAACATCCAGTGGAACAGCTTTTGATAGATTTGTTTCCGTTACAAACTGCATTCCAGGCGTGATCCATTCTGGAAACTTGAAATGTGGATCAAGATCATCGGTCCACTTTTTAAGTTCTTCAAGCACGTTACGACCGCATTTTTCAATAATTGCTGATGCAAAAGCACCATCAAGCTCATTACCAAATGACTGAGGGCTTCCAAGACGTTCTAAGATGTGACTAACATAAATATCTGTCAGAGTTGCATTGTTATCTAACATAAAATATTTTCCAATGGCCGTAATAAAGTAAGACTCTAATTCTAGATTGATTTTGATCGAAGTGAAGTCAATTTCTTCAGAATTAAGGGTAATGAAAGTTGGCGACTGAATAGGAAGAATCCCATGTCGAAGTAATTCAGCACCAGCCGATGTTGAATTAATAATTCCGCAACAAACAAGATCAACAATCGCCTTCCTTGGGTCGACCCCTCCGATTGCCAAAGTACTGTCGGTATTGCGCAAATAGCTTATCATTGACATAGTTATTTTCTCGATCCATTTCTTACTAGTTTTAACCATTTCATCATCTTTATCTTTTAGCAATTCTGATCGGTAGGCTAGCATTTTTAAAAACGACGCACAGTTTCGGGGTCGTCCTTTGAGAATATTTCCTAAATAAAGAAGAGTTTCAGGACTAACCCCTTCCATATTGATTACAGTGTCGAGAACTTTGGTAACATCATCAGGTGAGAGATAAGGGAGTTTCAACACAAGATGCACTGCTCGAGATGGTTCTTTTCCAACACTAGTATCTAGGGATATTCCGCTTGACATATGCATATTAGTGCCAGAAATAATGTGTGTAACTTCAAATTTGAAAGCGATCATGTGATTAGTATAGGCCTGCAAAAAATTCCATGGTTTGTTTGTTTCATTACTTCCAGTGTATTCTCCGTATTCAGGTCGGCAAAGACATTGCGCCTCATCTTGGATAAAGAGGATCCGTTCAATTTTAAGACATTGATTGATGAAATGTATAAGTATCGACAATTCTCTTGTGCTCAGTTCTGACAGGTTTTCGCAAATAAGGTTTATACTTTTCTTATCTAAACTATAAAGTTGTGCCAATAGCCAATCCTTTGGTGTTTTGATTTTTTGCTCTACATACATTTTGACTAGTATTAACATACGTGAGACGAAATCTATGTCGAGCTGGCGAAGTGCCCACTCCTGGAGTGTGGTATCATTGAAAGGTGGAGTTTTCGCTCTAACTGCACCGAGTAGATCAGATAATTGATTATTATATTCTGAAAGAAAATTGGAACAGTCTATATGTACTGCCCAAAGTTCTGCAGCAATGGCAAATGTAGTTGACGTTTTCCCCCCTCCTGTGACTCCGGCAAGCACAATAATATCTTGTTCATACTTTTTAATTTTATTTCGCACCAATCTAACGGTCTCTAGAAATTGCGGTTCGTGGTATAGGGGATTCTTATAGGTCATTTCAGTATTCACTTCAAAAGGAGGGAGGCAAAGATCGATTCTATCACACGTCCTTTTAGTAACACCATAGGGTAGGGGTGTTTTGAAAATTGAAGGGCTCTGTTTCAGCTTGACGTATGGGTTGTTCGGAGTTTCGAATGAAAAGTCATGTGAACGATCCCAAATTACGGCGAGACTCTGAGCCAGTTTACGAAAAAAAGGTAAATCGACATCATCGACATGAGGAAAAGTCTTTCGTAAATCACCTAGAAACAAGAATAAACAGTAAAGAGAAGGTTTTCAAAAAATACAACTTATAAGACTGACAATGTTACAAACCAATTATAGCATCGATATTCTTCTCTGCGTAACCATATAGAAAGCAAATAACAATGAACGTGAGTAATATACGATATTATTAGCAAAAAACGTTGAGACACTTACCAGTAGCATAAACGGGGGCTACAAAGATATGAAAGATAATTAAAAAAAAAGAACATGATACAGTGCAAGGTTAAAAATTAAATAAAGGTATTTTTTTTTTCAACTGTAAATTTCGATTAAACATTGGGAACTTACCAGTGTTACCAGTGGGGGGAATAATGGCGATGACGTGAATGTTAGACACTTTAAAATTTTGATTATTATTATTTAATTCATCTTGAAAATATTCTTCAAACAGTTCTTCAGGTTCCATTTCTCGCCCATTAATATTGATAATGTCTTCTTCGGTATGAACATTTTTTTTGATCTCGCTTTTCTTGACATTAACTTTCCAGAGTTTCACTCCGCGCATGACAGAAACATCAACCTTATTCCTACTACAGATAAAATTCAAGATATTTCCAATCTTGAAAACGGTAAGATTAAATTTATTGTCACCAAGCATGGTATATCTTATGTCTTCTTCCTTGTAAATGTCAATTGTAAAAGTGTCGGAAGAACTCAGAACGTAACAGTTGAACGATATTCCCATTTCGATGATATTGCTAATAAGAGTGAACAAATAGATGTAAGTTAAAAAGAAATAAGTTGAAGTAAGTTAAAAAAAGTTGAAAGAGTTTTTTGGAGGTATATATACTTGTAAAAACCTCATCATGACTGATAAAATAGACTCGGTGGCTTGTTGTAAGTTTATCAGTAGCG